TCCAAGAAAGCCAACCTGCCATTTTTTTACATCTTCTCGTGTGAACTGTACATTTTGCCGTTATTAAATTTTAACCAGGCAAATCCCACTGAGATTGCAAATCTAACATGCATGTTTAGGAAACCAGAGTACCCGGAGAAAACACATACAAACACGAGAAGTACATGCAAACTCCACACAGAATGACCCCAGGTTCAAACTGGGGATTAAAATCGAGTTGACTTGAACCAGTAATCGGGTTTCATTAAAATTTGCCATATGGTTTGTGAGATATTTTGCTAACAGACACATTTTTACAAAACTTGAACCCTTCTTTTGTTAGGCCATACTCCTTTTTTTTTTTTACCACTGTTGGTGCTTGGGGCAGCACGGTGGTGCAACTGGTAGAGCTGCTGCCTCTCAGCAAGCAGGTCTCTGGTTCAAACCCCGGTCCAGGGGCCTTTCTGGGTGGAGTTTGCATGTTCTCTCCATGCATGCGTGGGTTTTCTCCAGGTACTCCGGTTTCCTCCCACAGACCATAAACATGCATGTTAGGCTGATTGGTATCTCTAAAATTGTCCCTAGGTGTGAGTTTGTCTTTGTGTCCCTGTGATGGACTGGAGACCTGTCCAGGGTGTCCCCCGCCCCTCGTGCAGTGATTGCTGGACATGGGTGCCGGTGACCCCCATGACCCAAAATGGAAGAAGCGGGTAAAGATAATGGATGGATGGATAGATGGTAAAAGATAATGGCTGGATGGATGGATGGATGGTGGCGCTTGTGTTGCATAATGAGCTACAGTGGAACAATGTGTGTTTGTAAAATGACACATGCTTGTTGGAAATAATTCCTTTTCTTTTCATGGCAGCCATAAAAAAAACATCTTTACGATTCCTGGAAATCAGTCACCCAAAGACACTGAGTGGCGGTGCAGCACTGGTATGTTTGATGGTTTTACCTGTGCATTGTTCCATTTCTTCCTTGTGTTTCAGAAGCAGGATGTGACGTCACAGCAACTGTCCCCGCCTCCTTAGCTACACCTGAAGAGTGGGCGGAGTCTTGCCGGAAAGCGCAGGGGGAACAACAAGGAAGAGCTCGCGAGGCTCCAGCTCGGTGTTTGTGTGTTCGCTTCCCCACCTTGTGCCAGGAGGCGACGGGAAAACAGGAATTTCCCCTGTTGGCTCTCAACATGGACATGGACGTCCCGGAGTCTCCTCTCGGGAACATGGGGCTGCTGAGGACTTTTGACTCGTCTGAGTTCAACAGCTGGGAGAAGATTGGCTCAGGTGGATTTGGACAGGTATACAAAGTTCGTCATGTCCAGTGGAAAACATGGCTGGCCATCAAGTGTCCTCCCTGCCTTCATGTGGACGACAAGTAAGTCCCAGCTGGTGCTGCTGTTCAGTTTGAAGGAGCTCTGCTTCACCTGCGGCTCGTCTAGGTGTGTCGTTACTGCTGTCATGGCTAAATGTTACATTATCACCCGCCACCCGAGGCAAAGGCTGTTCGTGCTCGAGTGTGTTCATTTGTCTGAAGTGTTAGCAAAATATCGAACCATGAAACGGATTTTAACGAAGCTGTCAGAAGGTAATCTGTGGCTTAATCTACAGTTGATTAACTCGTGGACAATTCAAGATGGCTGCCACAGCCAACTGATTAAACTAAACACCTGAAGGTGCTCAAGTTATCCAATTTCTGAAGGACTGAGGTAAAATTCATTGTGGTGGTAGCTGAGGGTCATCCCCAACGCATACTGTGAGCACAGTATCCTTGCCTTTAACTGTTGGAGCCAACCCTCCTGTTAGCAAAACATCTTGTAAACCACTGTATTTTCTTGAAGGTATTCTTTGGATGAACATGTACAGTTGATGAATGTGTTGAAAGATGGCTGCCACGAGGATCAACCTTGGCCTACACATGAGTGTACTGGAGTGAGTTGACACATTGTTAGCTCTTGGTGTGGTAGTAGCTGACGGTTGTTCCCAGCACTTACATGCACTGGGCGGCTGCGGCTGAGTGGTTACAGCAGTCGTCCTCCAATGTGAGAGATGGGGGTTCAATTCCACCTGCAGTCACATGCTGAAGTGCCCCTGGGCAAGACACTGAACCCCTCATGTGTGTCCCATCAGTGCATGAATGTGATCAGCTGATTATTCTTTGTACAGATCTAGTATAGAGCTGTGTGAACGAGGACACGGATTGTTGTAAAGAGCTCCGAGTGTCTGGATCAGATGGAAAGGTGTGTGTGTGTGTGTGTGTGCGTGTGTGTGTAAGTGCAGCCCATTATCCATTTGCTCGAAGCGTTCGCAGACGTGCCGTGCACCCCACGAGGTCGAGCACGAAGTCAAAGAGTCACTGACTCACCGTGGGTCTGGGTCACGCAGCGAGTGTGTGCGTGTGATTTCAACATGGCTGAAGCGTGTTGAGCTGGAAGCTGCTGACTCATGGCTGCCTGGGTCCTCTGGGCCACAGAGCTGACCCGCACCTCACAGGTTCACAGCTGTTTACGCCTACACCATCATCAGGTGGGGATCTGAGGGAGGGGTGCGCTTCAGTGAATGAGTTGGATAACGGCTGAAATCTTCCAGGATCCAACGTTTGGGACCGCGGCTGATCTTCGCCTGGATTACGTCACCGAGTCCAAGGATGTTTCAGACGCTTTGGTTTGTGCGTTTGTCAGGCGGCGGCTGCTGTTTTCACAAATGCCTTCTGTCACAAAACATGACAACCACTGCTGCCTAATGGCTAAAGAGCAGTGATGCTCATGTGTTTTTGTGTGTCTGTTAGCAAAATATCTCATGAAGCATCGGATTAGTTTTAATGAAACTAGCAGAAAATGAGTTATTGGTTGTATTACCTGCAACTGATTATTTTTTGAGTCACCCCAGTTCAAGATGGCCACCACGAATAATTGAACTTGTCGTTTTACACATTTACTTGGATTTTGTGTGGATGTTATTTTAACTGATCAACAATGAGAATACATCTAAAGGACTGGATCATTGTCACCAGAACATTAAAGATGCATTGAAGCATCTTGAGCCTGAGCAGAGATGGTCTCCAACCAGTCGGTCGTTTGACCCTCGTCGATCTGGAGACTCTTGGTGCGTCTGCTCTGCAGCGCTGGCTGCCGCTGAGAGGCTCAGACAACTTAAGAAGCTGCGGAACTGGTCTTACCGAGCGTCGTTTGGTTCTAAAGAGCACCGTGGATTAGCTGACGTATTTAACAAACAAGGACTTGCTCAATCTTCCACCTCCTGTTTGGTTAGACCTGCCTGCAAGATTTGAGGGATTCTGTCTGCTTCACTTTAAATGGCACCTCACTGGGCTGCGACTGCTGGTGAGTAACTGGAGAGTCAGAGTTGCAGATTTTTAGGCCCGAGCTGCGAAGGCCTACTGTAATGGCTCCGTTCAGGTTTGATATAAAAATATGTTTTATAAGGTGTGAAGTTGCCCTTATGCCAA